CGGCTCCGCGGTGTCCCGCTGTTTTCGCCTTCTCCTCGCTCGATCGCTGCTCGAAGCGACGAACCGCGATCAAACGCGCTGTCGCGTTGCGTTCATATTACCTCTCGTTGTCCGTGGGTCGTCTGCGTCACCAGGAACGAGCACCAATTTGCTAACCGATCGTGTACGATCTCGTGTACCATCCGTTCTACATATATATATATATACGAAAAACGCGTGGATCGAAGAAAACGTAGATAATCGAGCCAAGCGCCGCTGATCGAATTTCGAATTTTCTCTCGATCGCCTCGATTCGCCTTGGATTATTCGCGTAAATTGTAAGTTCTAATTCTAAATTAGGGAAGGAGGGGGATGAAAGAACGATGAAAGAGGTTGTAAAAGGAAAATTGTACGTTTGTTGCAGGTTACAGGGAGACTGCGTTCGCGTTCGCGATTTCCGCAGCCGGGGTGGCGCACAGCGTGGCCCGGGCGTGCAGCATGGGACGGTTGCTCTCCTGCGGATGCGACCCGTCGAGTTACAAGGGTAAGCCGCCTGCCAAGGCCAGGGGCACGCAATGGAAGTGGGGCGGGTGCTCGCACAATCTCGACTACGGCATGGAGTTCTCGAGACAGTTCCTAGATACGCGCGAGAGGGCCGGGGATATACAGTCGACGGTCAATCTTCACAACAATCAAGCTGGCCGCTTGGTAAGCCGTTTGATTAATCTTCCCTTTCATCCTCCCCCCTCCCTCCCTCTTCTCCACTCTCTCTGTCGCGTCCCTCCCTCCTTGCACGAGTCTTGCGATAAATATTTCATTCCGTGACAATATACTTCTTCCCTCGGTATTTTTGTTCGTTCCATCGAGGTTCCGCTGATTCTCCGCGTTTTAACGGTGATTCTTGCTCGGCAACGCGTGCTAGAGCAACGCGAGAAAAGAAAGAAAAGCAAGCAAGGGAGCGAGAGAGCGGAGTAGAGAGAAAAGAGTGAATGAGAGACGGAAAAGAAAACGGTGAATAGGGGTAGAGAGGAGGAGTAAGAATACAACCGAGTCCTTTCCTCTCCACCATGCACCTCTCCACGCTCGGTCTCGCCTCGACGTTATTAAGACGAAGCCCGGGGCTGGACCACCCAGTCGTAGACTCATTAACTGTTTTGTACGCGACACCTCTTTGTTTAAAAGAAATTGCCCCCTTTTCTCTTCAGCCGCTGTTCATGCGACTCTCTTGACCACTCCGCGCACTCGCTGCACCGAAGACGTAACCGTTCGTCGCATGTATACCTTCTTTTTTCTTATTCTTTTCTTCTCCTTTCTCTCTCTCTCTCTCTCTCTCTTTCTCTTCTTTTTCCCATCGATTCAATTTCTCGTCGCAATCATCCTCGTCGTCGTTTAATTCTTCACTTACTTCGGCTTACTTACTTACTTATTCGGTTACTACTTATCTTATCCTCTCCTTGTTGTTCTCCGAATTATTCGATCGAGACAACGATTGGTGAAATTTTAGGCGGTGGCGAGCAATATGCAAGTGCGATGCAAGTGCCACGGTATGTCGGGTTCCTGCGAGCTCAAGACTTGCTGGAAAGTGGCGCCGGATTTCCGAATAGTCGGGAAAACGCTAAAGGATCGATTTCGTAACGCTGTGCTGGTGGCGCAAAGCAATCTGGGCAGCGTGACCCCGTTGACCAGAGTGAGAGGATCTCGGAGGAGGAGGCCGGATCGGCAGAGGCAGAGGAAACATCGCGGTGGATCGGGCGGGAACGGGCGTAAGAGGAGGCCTCGGGATCTCGCCAAGCAACTATTCTATTACCAAAAATCGCCAAATTTTTGCGAGAGAGATCCGAGCGCGGACATCCCTGGAACGGCGGGGCGTAGATGCAACAAGACAAGCTCGGGTGGGGACGGGTGCGGCAACCTGTGTTGCGGAAGAGGTTACAACGTGGTGAGACAACGACGGGTCGAGAGGTGCAAATGCAAGTTTCATTGGTGTTGCATCGTCCAATGTCAGAACTGCACTGTGGAAGAGTGGATCACTGTTTGCAAGTGAAAGGGAATGCCGGAAGGATATTGGGGGGGGGGAAGGGAAGGGAAGGATCTTTTATTTTCGCGTGTATCGATGAATCGAAACGAACGCGATAAATGACGAATTGATCCCAGCGAACATGAGCAGAATCGCGTGTAAATAACAATTGATACACGGATTAAATCGGATCAAGGTACGAACGGTATTTCCGAGTTCAATCTGATTACCACTTCGAGTCGTCGTTATCGAAGTCTCATCGTCAAGAATCGTTACATTAGTAATCAATAGTAAAAGGATGGTTGGATGGATGGATGGATGGATGGATGGATGGATGGTTGGATGGATGGATGGATATAACGAGTATCGAAGGGAACGAATCGAAATCGAAACGGATTGACGCTTAACGCGAATGAGTCAGAGATCTGTTAAGACGGAAACGTAGCGAGTCGAACGTATTGGAAGCGTGAGTCAAACGGCACTCGCGAAAACGGCCTCGATACGAAGATTAGCCGTGAGAGATCGAGTCGACACCGATTCGGTCATCGTATTTCTATTCACGCTTAGCACGCATTATCGGGACACGTAACGCTCGTGTAACACTAGCGATCGCGCGCACGAGCATGTAACACGGCTGAAAAAGACAATGTAATTGTTCTTAAATCGCGCGACTAATTGTAACTAATTTAATTGGTAGATTAAGCGGGCCAATAATTTATTTATAACGTTGCCTCTATTTAATTAGTAGATATATAATTTGAATATTCACAGCAAGTGTAACACCTCCGTCACAGTATTATTAGAGGAAGCAATGTGCGTGTGTATAGAGATATTTCGGGATGGATGCGATTGTATACAATTTAATAATGCGCGTACAATAAAGAGTTCCTTTGATCGATTATAATCGCAAACCCATTTGTATGTCTGTGTTTCTCTCTTCTCTGCAGCTCGATCGCGCGAAGATCGCTCGAAATTCGTAACTCTTTCGAACTTTACGGATTCACGGATCGCCATTTCGAATATAATTTGTATTCTTTGTACTCGTGGATAGTTTCGTTCGGCCTTCTTTATTCCATCGATCGAACGATAAATTGTCTCGCGTTAAAACCTTGGAAAAATCTGTGTCAATTCTACTTACATGCCACATACAAGCGAAAAAAAGAAAAAAAAAGACCATTTCAACGATATTACGAAACATCAAAGAGTACGTTTTCGTAACACTATCTATCGTCTAAGCTCTTAACTTCTCTGTTCTCGATTCTCGTACCCGAGTGGTGGGGTAGTCGCTCCACATCTACCTCACCTCGAATCACGAAAAATTGGAAGGGATGATGATGGATAACAGGCGACAATTATCTTTCGCGATCACCAAGTATCGAGCATCGCGAGCATCAATTCGTTCGAATCAATTGATTCAAAGCCCTTGGAATTCACCGATCGCAAATTAGGTTTTCGAGTCTGTACTAGGATTCCGATTAGATTAGCATCGAAATCGGACGAGGACTTTCGTAATCGTATTTTACATGGTTCGATGCAACGTCGATAGCCGATAATCCAAAGCGTCATCGTTACGATGATTATTTTAAACAATGATCCCTTGATCGATCGGTCGAGATCAATTCCACCGAAGGAATACGATGGATACGATTCGGCTATCGTGGAAAGAAAGGAAGAAAAATCTCGTGTGCGACCGAGATTAACGTTCTCTCGCCATTGGCGAAACGATAAAGCACACTGGGCCCGACAAGAAGCCTGGCCTCACGTCATGTCGCATCGTGTCATGTCGCGTCGCGTCGCGTTGCATCGCGTATTCGCATTAACGGCGGTTCTCTTTGACAACTGGAATCAGGACGACCCTGAAGAAGCCGCGATAAAGCGCATTAATTTATCGCGCGACCCTCGGGAGATCTTTTTCAAGGCGCATCGATCCAACCAACTAGATTAGAAACGGGAAAACGGCGCGTACGCTTTTTACCCCGTGGATACCTGTATCTCTCGACGACGATTATTCTCATGCGTCTGCCTCTTTCGTAATTCGCGACGCGTTTAAGATCTAAGACCGACGATCACGAGACAATTACGATTACGCGAATCGTAATGAACGTCGATCCTCGACCGATTCTTTTTTTTCTTCTTCTTTCCTCCCTTCCTTCTCTTTTTCGCTCTCTCTCCCCTTCCTTGTACATGATCGAAACACGGACGAGAGAATGAACGATGCTCGCCGACACTCGCGAAATGGAGAACGAGAGATTTTCGAAGGTTCTCGTCGTCGATGCGCACGAACAACGAGATGAAAGTTATCGAAAAATTCTTACTCTTCTCGGGAAAGACAAGAGAGAAAAATTACAAATATTCGAAAGGAATGAGAGGCGGAGAGAGAAAGAGAGGTCAAGAGAGAGAAAGAGAGAGAGAGTCGAGATTGGACGACGATCTCGGGAACGAAATCAATGAGCTAACAGGCTTGCGAGTTAGCAGTTAGTTAATTAAGTCGGCGTTATTGGATCATGGAAGCCAAGCACCCCTCCCCAGCAATACCCCTTCGACGCAATCGTGACTGCCGCCCTGTACGAGCGTCGTAGAGCTCGGCTCTTACTCCGGCACACGAGCATTGCGAGGGTGGACGCCGCAGGGCCTGCACAACCTGCCAGACGTTTTAATTAGAGGTGAGTTTCATCGCGAGCCACGATAAGAGCACCCCTCTGTTACTTGTCCCTTACGAGTAAGTGTTTTGCACCTTGCGTGAAAACCCTTCGTTTCGTCCGCCGCTAGATCATATACAGGCTAAGTCCCTCTCTAGCCCGTCGTTGACTCTTGGAAAACCAATGACGGAAGAATCACTGACGAGTCGTCGCGAGAGAATCATTCGCGCGTATAATTTGTGAACAGGATGGACACGATGGATCGATTACAGTCGTTCGACGATATAACACGATTTTCGACCGATTTTCGAAATCCTCGAGATATCATAATCAATCCTCGAGATATATAATTGTTTTCAATCGCGTCTCGCGTCTCTTTTCTATACGATTTTTCTTCTTTCCTTTTTCCCAAAGATTCCGCGTGTCCAAGGGATAGTCCTTGTCACCTCCTGAAAGTGGTTTCTCCTTAACTCTTGAAAGCTTGGAAAATTCTTACGCGTTCGAGAATATTCGATGGAATAATTTTAATCGGCCGATGATTCTTTTTTTTTTCTTTTCTTTTTCTTTCTTTCTTTTTTTCCCGCATCAATCGAGGAATCGACTTAATCCCAATTTGGAAAACGAACGAACGAGTGAGATTCCACGATATTTATCCCGAGAGGAGGCGCATTAGCGCGAACGATCCCCCCGGGATGCCACAAGATCGCGAGGCTCGCTCCCGAGACACCATTATCGTTTTCGGATCGCGAATAATGCCGCAATTAACAAGTTTCGCTCGACGCTCGGAATAAAGAGGGAGACAACGAGGAGTCGGACAACGAAAGATGAGAAGAATCGACGAAGGAGGAAAGAATCGAAGGTGTACGCGTTCGCGAGGGAGATGCAAGAGGAGGAGGAGGAGGAAAAGAGAAACAGAGAGAAAGAGAGAAAAAAGAGGTGGAAAAAGGGTAGAGGCGTATATATGCGAGGCGCTTTACGTTCCATGGTGCGTCTCTCAAGGTGGCGGAACATGTGTTTCTGAATGTTTTGCCAGGATGCCGGGAAAAAGAGAGAAATCCGTAAGAAATGCAGAGGGAACGGAGAGTCGGAGGACAGAAGGAGGAAGCGCGCACAATCGTGAACTCTTGGAGAAGAGCGTTTCTCGTCTCGCAGCGGTACGACGACACTTGCCGCGAAGGTAAATCCAGCCAGGTGTCGTCTCGGACCAGCAACTCGTTCGGTCGAGCAAGAATGACAAAGACGGACAGGCGATAGTTGAACACCGGCGTATCGGTAATTCCAACGAGGAAGAGGAGATGAGAAGTAGATGAGAGGGGGAGAGAGGAAGAGATACACGGTGGTAAGACAAGACGGAGAGGAGGAAAGAGAGGAGGCGCGATCGCAAGCCGCGAGAGAGGAATATGTTGCGGAAAGTTAAATGTTGCATGAGCTTCGAGGAAGAAGAACGAAGACGAGATTCCCGGTATCGATTAACCCCCTGACGGAAATAACGATCTTTGGAGGATCGGTCGATCGCGAGAACAGCGACACCTCCGCCTCGGAATCTCAAAGAGGCAGACGCGTTATCTGCCGAAAGGATCGATCTTGGAGAGTGTCTGTAAAAGGTAGAGCGGAAGGAGAGAAAGAGATGTGGAGGGCAAGAACGGGGACCTCGTGCCCGTCGAGGAAAACACGGC